TACGAAAATGCCATCCGAAAATAAATTGGCCCAAATCGATACTTAACGGACTTATCATCCGTAGAGCATAGGATCAATAGACTTCATTATCGGTGGAGAATAGCCTCGGCCTGATTCCGTGAAATGTAGCCTCCAGAATCGAAAGAAAATGGCATTTCAGATAAATCGCCCGAAATCTGTGATGGTACCCCTTTGGAATCTGTCAAAAATTGACACGAAATAAATCCGCCCAAATCGGTGCGTAATGGACTCAATCGTCGTTGGAGAATAGCCTCAGGCCGAAACCGTGATCTGTAGCCTTCAATATCCAAAGAAAATGGCCTTTCGTCCGCCAAGAAATTATGAAAATGCCATCCGAAAATAAATCGGGCCAAATCGATGCTTAACGGACGTATCATCCGTGGAGAATAGGATCAATAGAATTCATTATCGATGGAGAATAGCCTCGGCCTGATTCAGTGATCTGTAGCCTCCAGAATCGAAAGAAAATGGCATTTCGGATAAATCGCCCGAAATTGGTGATGGTACCCCTTTGGAATCTGCCAAAAATTGACCCGGAATAAATCCGCCCAAATCGGTGCTTAATGGACTTAATCATCGTTGTGGAATAGCCTCAGGCCGAATGCGTGATCTGTAGCCTTCAATATCCAAAGAAAATGGCCTTTCGTCTGTTAAGAAATTACGAAAATGCCATCCGAAAATAAATTGGCCCAAATCGATGCTTAACGGACTTGTCATCCGTGGAGAATAGGATAAAAGACTTCATTATCGGTGGAGAATAGTCTCGCCCTGATTCTGTGATCTGTAGCCTCCAGAATCGAATGAAAATGGCATTTCGGATAAATCCCCCAAAATCTGTGATGGTACACCTTTGGAATCTGCCAAAAATTGACACGGAATTAATCCGCCGAAATCGGGGCTTGATGGACTCAATCACCGTTGGAGAATAGCCTCAGGCCGAATCCGTGATCTGTAGCATTCAATATCCAAAGAAAATGGCCTTTCTTAGACCAAGAAATTACGAAAATGCCATCTGAAAATAAATTCGCCCAAATCGATGCTTAACGGACTTATCATCCGTGGAGAATAGGATCAAGAGACTTCATTATCGGTGGAGAATAGCCTCGGCCTTATATTGTGATCTATAGCCTCCAGAATCGAAAGAAAATGGCACTTCAGATAAATCGACCGAAATCTGTGATGGTACCCCTATGGAATCTGCCAAAAATTGTCCCGGAATAAATTCACCCAAATTGGTGCGTAATGGACTCAATCATCGTTGGAAAATAGCCTCAGGCCGAATCCGCGATCTGTAGACTTCAATATCCAAAGAAAATGGCCTTTCGTCGCCCAAGATATTACGAAAATGCCATCCGAAAATAAATTGGCCCAAATCGATACTTAACGGACTTATCATCCGTGGAGAATAGGATCAACAGACTTTATTATCGGTGGAGAATAGCCTTGCCCTGTTTTCGTGATCTGTAGCCTCCAGAATCGAAAGAAAATTGCATGTCAGATAAATCCCGAAATCTGTGATGGTACCCCTTTGGAATCTGCCAAAAATTGACCCGGAATAAATCCGCCCAACTCAATGCTTAATGGACTCTATCATCGTTGGAGAATAGCCTCAGGGCGAATCCGTGATCAGTAGCCTTCAATATCCAAAGAAAATGGCCTTTCGTCGCCCAAGATATTACGAAAATGCCAACCGAAAATAAAATGGCCCAAATCGATACTTAACGGACTTATCATCCGTGGAGAATAGGATCAATAGACTTCATTATCGGTGGAGAATAGCCTCGCCCTGATTCCGTGAAATGTAGCCTCCAAAATCGAAAGAAAATGGCATTTCGGATAAATCGCCCGAAATCTGTGATTGTACATCTTTGGAATCTGCCAATAATTGACCCGGAATAAATCCGCCCAAATCGGTATGTAATGGACTCAATCTTCGTTGGAAGATAGCCTCAGGCCAATTCCGTGATCTGTATCCTTCAATATCCAAAGAAAATGGCCTTTCGTCGCCCAAGAAATTACGAAAATGCCATCTGAAAATAAATAGGCCCAAATCGATGCTTAACGGACTTATCATCCGTGGACAATAGGATCAATAGGCTTCATTATCGGTGGAGAATAGCCTCGGCCTAATTCCGTGATCTGTAGCCTCCAAAATCGAAAGAAAATGGCATTTCGGATAAATCCCCCGAAATCTGTGATGGTACCCCTTGGAATCTGCCAAAAACTGACACGGAATAAATCCGCCCGAATCGCTGCGTAATGGACTCAATCGTAGTTGGAGAATAGCCTCAGGCCGAATCCGTGATCTGTAGCCTTCAATATCCAAAGAAAATGGCCTTTCGTCCGCCACGAAATTACGAAAATGCCATCCGAAAATAAATAGGGCCAAATCGATGCATAACGGACCGTGGAGAATAGGATCAATAGGCTTCATTATAGGTGGAGAGTAGCCTCGACCTGATTCCGTGATCCGTAGCCTCTAGAATCGAAAGAAAATGGCATTTTGGATAATTCCCCCAAAATATGTGATGTTACCCCTTTGGAATCTGCCAAAAATTGACCCGGAATAAATCCGCCCAAATTGGTGCTTAATGGACTCAATCATCGTTGGGGAATAGCCTCAGGCCGAATGCGTGATCTGTAGCCTTCAATATCCAAAGAAAATGGCCTTTCGTCCGTTAAGAAATTACGAAAATGTCATCCGAAAATAAATTGGCCCAAATCGATGCTTAACGGACTTGTCATCCGTGGAGAATAGGATCAAAAGACTTCATTATCGGTGGAGAATAGCCTCGGCCTGATTCCGTGATCTGTAGCTACCAGAATCGAATGAAAATGGCATTTCGGATAAATCGCCCGAAATCTGTGATGGTGTACCCCTTTGGAATCTGCCAAACATTGACCCGGAATAAATCCGCCCAACTCAATGCTTAATGGACTCTATCATCGTTGGAGAATAGCCTCAGGCCGAATCCGTGATCTGTAGCCTTCAATATCCAATGAAAATGGCATTTCGTCGCCCACGAAATTACGAAAATGCCATCCGAAAATAAATTGGCTGAAATCGATGTTTAAAGGACTTATCATCCTTTGGAATCTGCCAAAAATTGACCCGGAAAAATCCGCCCAAATCGGTATGTAATGGACTCAATCACCTTTGGAATCAGCCTCGGCCTAATTGAGTCCATTACATACCGATTTGGGCGAATTTATTCCGGGTCTATTTTTGGCAGATTCCAAAGGGGTACCATCACAGATTTCGGGCAATTTTTCCGAAATGCCATTTTCTTTCGATTTTGGAGGCTGCAGATCACGGAATCAGGCCGAGCCTATATCCACCGATAATGAAGTTTATTGATACTATTCTCCACGGATGATAAGTCCATTAAGCACCGATTTGGGCCAATTTATTTTCGGATGGCATTTTCGTAAATTTTTTGGCGACGAAAGGCCATTTTCTTTGGATTTCGAAGGCTACAGATCGCGGATTCGGCCTGCGGCTATTCTTCAACGATGATTAAGTCCATTAAGTGCCGATTTGGGCGAATTTATTCCGGGCCCATTTTTGGCATATTCCAAAGGGGTACCATCACAGATTTCGGGCAATTTATCCGAAATGCCATTTTCTTTCGAATCTGGAGGCTGCAGATCACGGAATCAGGCCGAGCCTATATCCACCGATAATATTGATACCATTCTCCACGGATGATAAGTCCATTAAGCACCGATTTGGGCCAATTTATTTTCGGATGGCATTTTCATAATTTTTTTGACGACGAAAGGCCATTTTCTTTGGATTTTGAAGGCTACAGATCGCGGATTCGGCCTGAGGCTATTCTTCAACGATGATTAAGTCCATTAAGTGCCGATTTGGGCGAAATTATTCCGGGCCCATTTTTGGCAGATTCCAAAGGGGTACCATCACAGATTTCGGGCAATTTTTCCGAAATGCCATTTTCTTTCGATTCTGGAGGCTGCAGATCACGGAATCAGGCCGAGCCTATATCCATAGATAATGAAGTCTATTGATATTATTCTCCACGGATGATAAGTCCATTAAGCACCGATTTGGGCCAATTTATTTTCGGATGGCATTTTCGTAATTTTTTTGGTGACGAAAGGCCATTTTCTTTGGATTTTGAAGGCTACAGATCGCGGATTCGGCATGAGGCTATTCTTCAACGATGATTAAGTCCATTAAGTGCCGATTTGGGCGAATTTATTCCGGGCCATTTTTGGCAGATTCCAAAGGGGTACCATCACAGATTTCAGGCAATTTTTCCGAAATGCCATTTTCTTTCGAATCTGGAGGCTGCAGATCACGGAATCAGGCCGAGCCTATATCCACCGATAAT